GGGAGGGGGGAGAAGAAGAAATTGGGAGGGGAGGGGGAGAAGAAGAAATTGGTAGGGGAGGGGGGAGAAGAAGAAATTGACAGGGGGGAGAAGAAGAAATTGGTGGGGGGAGAAGAAATTGACAGGGTGAGAGTGACAGGGGAGGGAGGGGCAATGAGAGTGGGAAGGGGGAGGGGAGAAGAGAGTGACAAGGGAGAGGGGGGAGAAGAGAGTGACAAGGGAGGGGGGAGAGATTGACATCCATCACACACACATGCAATGCACCCCTTGCACACAGAAAAACACACAATGCATTACACACACAGACACACACACACAAACAATGCAACCCTTACACACAATGCATCCCTTACACACACACAAACACACAATGCATTCCTTACACACACTCAATGCACCCCTTACACACACTCAATGCACCCCTTACACACGCACACACTGCATCCTGTACATACACAGAAACACACCTTGCAGCCCTTACACATACAAACACAGATTCACACAATGCATTCCTTACACACATATCAGGACATCCCCTACACACTCCACCCCCTGTGAACAAACTCATTGGTGGAACATGAAGGTGGACCCTGGGACCCAGACCTTGAGCTGTGTAAAGGGCCCCCAAAAAATGGAGCTGCTTCCCGTTCTCCCAGAACATTGATTTTTGTGACCACAGTTACAAACAGCCTCCAGAGAGCCTGTTCTACACCAGACCAGTGGAGCCAGACTGCAGCTAGAGCCCATCATCATCCTCATCTCGTTGTAAGTAGGCAATCTAGTATATTATTCGTGGCACTAATCTCTAATTTACCTCACATTAAAGAAACACTATAGTCCCCAGAACCACTGCAGCTTAATGTAGTTGTTCTGGTGTCTATAGCCTGTCCCTGAATGCCTTATAATGTAAACACGGCGGCACTGCAGCACTGGCGTTAGTTAACATGGCAGATCATATGGGTGGAGCATTGTGATGTCACATGGGGGGGCGGCACTTTACTTTTGCCTAGGGCGGCAAAAATCCTTGCACCGGCCCTGGCATTCGGTTCCCGAAACATATGCTTTTAACAGACTTTTTTGGGGGGAACGTTTTTCCCAAGCCTTTTCTTTGGACTGTCTCCTTCCTTCCCCCCAGTCAGAGTTGGTGTCCAGGATTAGTTAGTGGCAGACGGATCCCTGTTTACTGTACTCCCCCTTCCTTTTATTAAGTGAATTTGTGAGTATTTGTACTTGACAATTTTATTTCTGTGGGTTACTTAACCCTGTTTTCAACCTTTTCATGTAATAAATTGTTCTTGCAATTGGATTCTAAATTGTTTTACTATGCAATCATCTAATAATTTACCTGGGCCCTCTGGGGCACAAACTGATCCCATAGTTTTCCCCCTATGGTTTCTGGGGATGAAGCCGATTTCACAGCTGCCTCCATACAAGCCATATTTCCGTTAAAGACCTGGGCTCCTATGTTCAAACATTTAAAGCCTTAGATAAGGCACAGCCAAATATGAAGAGGGTGTTTCACCCAAAGGTTTTTGCTGGGGCCGGCAGAACAAGGGGCCGTTTGTCTGGCAGAGTTAGTAGAGGTTCACTGCCGAACCGAGGCTCGTCCACGGGGAGAACCCCCTTTCCTGAGCAGAGGTCCACTCCGACCTTCTTCCCTCAAAGAGACAGACCCTGGGTGTCAAGAGGCGCTCCTTTGGGACGACGTCCTTACGATAAGCTATTTCACTCAATTTCCTTCCCTTTTGGTACTAGACGGCAGACTCACCCATTTTTCCCATGTCTGGGCTCTTATTACATCAGATGTTTGGGTACTCAGGGCTATCAATGGGTATCTAATGGTTTTTGTTTTCCTTCCTACACAACTTTGTCCACCCAGGGAGACTGTTTTTCCCCCACTAGACATGGCTATTGTTTTTGAGGAAGTACGTGAATTGGCGCACAAAGGTGCAATCCAAAAGGTCTCAATGCAAACCTCGGGTTTCATGAGCAATTTGTTTCTTGTCTCCAAGAAAGGAGGTGGAATCTGCCGTCATCAACTTAAAAAACAACTAAATACTTATGTATTTAGTTATGTATTTATTTTCAAGATGGAAGGCATTCATTGCCTAAGAGATTTACTCCAACCATCATATTGGATGGTCAAACTCGACCTAAGGGATGCCTATCTCACGGTGCCCATTGCAGACGTTCATCAAGATTTCCTGCAATTCATGTGGCAAGGAAGGAAATGGTGGTTCTGCTGCCTACCCTTTGGTCTCTCTTCCGCGCCTTGGTGCTTCACCAAGCTCATGAAGCCTGTTATCGCTCTTCTCCGCTATTTATTTAGACAATATCCTGCTATTATCCTAGTCGGTCCCTCTACTTCATACTCACCTTATTGCAAAATTTGGGCTTTATTATAAATTGGGAAAGTCCATACTCATTCCCACTCAACGTATAGAATGTCTGTGCCTTCTAGTGGACTCGTCCCTGCAAACTCTATACCTACCAATATCGAAACTGAAGAACATCAAAAAGGAGATACGGTGCATTCCTGCCACTTCACAATTCTCTCTCAAGCACCTAGAACGCGTGATCAGGCTCCTGGCTGCCTCCATACAAGCCATATTTCTAGGGCCCTCTTCACTACAGAGCCCTCCAACGCCTACTGGCGTCGTACCTCAGGGGTGGTGCCTGTTACGAGGATATCGTGACACTAGACGCAGAGGTTAGAGAGTATCAGATGTTAGGGCACTCGATGTCAATGCACGCTCTTTCTTCCCATAAGGAGTTGTATTTGACATTTCACAGAGGCCAAAATCGTCTTCCCGGTCAGTCTTATACCTGGCTTTTCCCATGAAACCACAACTCTGTCCGGTGACGTGTCTACGTGTTATGAAGCATGTACTGCCCCCCATTCAGACAGGATCAGACCCCCAACTTTTCATTTTCTTTCGTAAACCGCATGCTCCGGTATCCTCCCCTACCTTGGTTCAAATGGCTCATGTAGTTGGTAGGTATTGATATTTCCAATTTATCTCCTCATTCGATTCACGGTGCTATGGCTTCTAAAGCCTCCTTTGCTGGATGTTGTTTGGAGGATATTTGGAGGATATTTTAAAAGCGTCTACTTTTCGTAATTTCAGCTTTAAACCAATCTAGCATAATGGGAGCCTCCATGTCTTTAATAAAATTCAAGGATTTTACTATTGTCATGATGGAAAGTCATGTTTTTATTAAAGACACGGAGGCGAGTATTATCCCACCCACCCGCCCTTTGGCGGCTCTGGTATAGAGTTACTTCTTGATTGACCTGTCCTCAATGGTAAGTTGAGATTTTAGTGGTTTTGCTGTCATTACATGCCTGCATAGCTATAGGGGGCAGTTTAGCTAGGGGACCTTTGGATGTCGTTAGTATCCTAAGACTGTTGTGTTTTCATCCTATTACATTTCACAGAGTTATTGTCATTGACAAGTCAGGTGATTAGGCTTCTAAGTATGCTTCCATTCCATAATTACAATAGATTACCATATTTTCTTGTTTCTTTTAGCATGAATTTGTTTGCAACACCTCTCTGGATCATATGCCGTGTTCCGGCTCGTTTGGGTTCCGGCTTGTTTGGCTGTTCTCCTGCTGGTTTAAGTTCTTCTTCAGGATTCGCAAGAAAAAGGAAGTGGTCCGTCGCTGATTGGATGTTACTAGGCGGATATTGTCATTATGATGGTTATCCCTGTTTTTTATCATTTGATGTTTCTTTGTTGCTGAGGGAATTTAAGAAAGAGTGCAGCATAATACTCGCCTCCATGTCTTTAATAAAATCATGACTTTCTGTCATGATAATAGTAAAATCCTGGAATTATTAATTAAAAAGAACAGCTCACCCCCTCACAACCCCTACCTAACCCCACAAACACACACTACATGTACTACACACAAGCGGCGGCCTTACAGTGAACCAGTTCTCGGGAGTGCTCAATACCCGGCTTCAGGTGACCAGCAGGAGGAGAGCACACAGCGCTCCCCCTCCTGCTGGTCACTTCATGTAGTGTGACCGAGCGGACTATGCTGTGCTACTCGGTCTCACAGGAAGGGCTCGGAGAGAGCATCGAACAGCTTACTATCAGTCCAGGATAGAGGAAACAGAAGCTCCTCTACTGCGGTCTGCTCAGCCACATACAGAGTGGCTGAAGAAGAGGACAATGGCACACACTGAGTGACTGGGGAAGGGGACAATGGCACACACTGAGTGACTGAGGAAGGGGACAATGACACACATTGAGGGGCTGAGGAAGGGGACAATGTCACAGGCAGAGGGGAGGGGGAGAAGGAATGCATGTTTGCCAGACTAGTTGAAAATGCTTGCACCGGTGCTGCAACACACTGCATCCACTACACAAACACGCACTCTACATACACTATGCATGTGCACACAATTGATTCACTACACACACTAAATTCACTATACACACTGCATCCACTAGACACATACACTCTCCATGCACTATACACATGCACACAATGGATTCACTGCACACACTGCATCCCCTAAACAGACATTGCATTGACTACACAAACTGCATCAAAAAATGGATGTGGTTTTGGTGGGACTGCATTTTAAACTTGGACCCAGGCAGCACAATGAGTAGCACCGAAGACTCGAGGTTTCCACTAATAATACATAATCTAGGCAATGAATTAAAACAATGCAAAATACATACATAAAACTAAATCCCCTCCCCCCCATAAAAAAAAAATATGAATGAAAACGAAAACAAAAACAACAAAGAAGCAAGTAGTTATGTTTATGGCATTCATGACTAAAAGTAGGGATCTTTAAATTGTGCAAATCTATCTGTCTGTCACTATTTAAACAATGCACTTAAAGGGACACTGTAGGCACCCAGACCAATTCAGCTCTTTGAGATGGTCTGGGTGCTGTGTCCCTTTTGCACTTAGTGCTGCAATGTTAAACATTACAGTTCCAGACAACCAGTGGGGGCGCTTCCGGAATCCAAATGGACTTTTGGTCCGTTGTCTGATGCTGGACGTCCTCACGCTCTGCATGAGGACCCTCAGCGTCAGATTTTTCCCCTTAGGAAAGCATTGATTCAAAGCTTTCCTATAGGGAAGTCTAATGCGTGCGTGGCATTTGCCGCGAATGCGCATTAGGCCCCACTTGTCGGGGACGGATGAGGGGGTGGGGCTTCGACCTAGCGCAGAGGGACATCAGCGCTGGGATCCAATAAGTAAATGAATGTTTTTTAACCATTTATTTACTGGGTAGGAGGCAGAGGGATTGCTAGTGCCAGAAATACAGCGTTGTATTCCTGGCACTACAGTATCCCTTAAAAATGGGTCTTTTACTTGTAAGGTGTTTAATAGTTAGGACATAAGCAAACCTATGTTCTCTCTCATAAACCTGTATGTTGCACCACACAGTGCCTAGTGAGAGGCTGTTAAAAGTAGCAAGCTAATATGTACA